CGTGGTACAGTGGGAAAGAACATCTTTGTTCCCAGGGTCTAGGGTCTCAGCCAAGACCACTCAAATGGCTGGGACCTGGAACAGCTGGGAGCTGGTAAGGCGTAAGATCAAACATTTTAAACCAAAAAATATACTACAATAGAAACAATAATAATGGATGACAGTTTCCCCTAATTTAACAGATTTCATTTTACTAAAATAAACAAAATCCTGGACATGTATACACTACCAAATGTCAGGTAGATAGCTAGTGGGAAGCAGCCGCATAGCACAGGGAGATCAGCTCAGTGCTTTGTGACCACTTAGAGGGGTGGGATAGGAAGGGTGGGAGGGAGGGAGACGCCAGAGGGAAGAGATATGGGGACATATGTATATGTATAACTGATTCACTTTGTTATAAAGCAGAAACTAACATACCATTGTAAAGCAATTATACTCCAATAAAGATGTAAAAAAAACCCCAACCCCCCCCCCCAAAATCCATTTCCATCAGTGTTGAAAATTAACCAGGCAATTGAAACGAGGCACCTGATATATGACATTACTCCCATATGTGATGCTCCAATAGCACATTAGATACTGCATAATTTGGGAAACAAAGTTTTACCAAGGTAAATCTTATATAACATAAAATCATGCAATTAACTGAACTCAAATTCTCTGATGTAAGGATATGTAAAAATATCCCCCTTTAAAAACATCAGTGTGATTTTTTTTTGGCCACACCACGTGGCTTGTGGGATCTTAGTTCCCTGACCAGGGATTGAACCCAGGTCCTCGGCAGTGAAAGCACTGAGTCCTAACCACTGGACCACCAGGGAATTCCCTAGTGTGATGCGCTTTTAATAAAGTTATATAAAGTGGAAACACATCAAGATTTGACAATTTAATTCAACCAAACAAAATATTTATTAAGCTACTTATGGGAATCTGATGGCAACAATATTATGGATGGATTTTGTTGTAAGGATGGAGAAGCAGTACTTTTCATTAGAGAACATATTCTAATAAGGCCTGAGCAAGGACAGAGGCATTTAGATAAATGCCAGAAAATTAGTAAGAGCAGAATTAAGACTTGGACAAACTTCAAATTGAAGGTGTAAGAAAACGGTTAAGAGTAAACTTCATTTCACCTAAGATGACCAAGAAGATGGTGATGCCTCTCAATGAAATTAGGAATGCACCAGGGTGAAGCAAAGGAAATGAACCTAGCTTTGGACATTCTGAATTTATGATCCCAATAGCTAGTAGTACTGCTTACTATTTGGTATGCCTTATTCTAAATACTCCACATGTATCAAATCATAACATTCTTACCACAATCCTGCAAAGATGGAACTATGATTTATCATTTCCATTTACCAGGTGAGGACCAGAGAGCTTATGCAATCTGCCCAAGACACACAGTTAATAGACGGCAGAGCTGGGACTTGAATCAAGGCAGACTGTCTTCAGAGCACCTGCTCTTTTCTATTACTTCAATTTTAGTATTGAGTTGTAATGGCATTCAAATGGTTCAAAATTCAGAATGATACAAAATGGTATTTATACACAAGTTGTGCCTCAGCCCCACTCTTTC